CAACTCACAACTTTGTTACCATAAAAGTTGAACCATGCATGTTTATTGCTGCACTATTCACAATAGCCAAGACATGGAATCAATGTAGATGCCTATCAACAGCATATTGGATAAAGAAAATGGGTACATATACACCATGGAATACTACACAGCCATAAAAAAGAACAAAGTCATGTCCTTTGCAACAAAAGATGCAGCTGGAAGCCATCATCCTAAGTAAATTAATGCAGGCACAGGAAAACAAATACCACATATTCTCACCTATAAGTGGGAGCTAAATGCTGGGAACACGTGGACATAAAAATGGGAAACATAGGCTTGGAATTACTAGAGCAGGGAGAGAGGGAAGATAAGGCAAGTTCTGAAAAACTACCTATTGGATATTATGCTCACTACCTGAGTGATGGGCTCGTTGGTATTGTAAGCTCAGGGTCATGCAATATACCCCTGTTAACAAACCTGCACAAGTACTTCCTAAATCTAAAGTAAAATTTGAAATAAAAACAAAACAAAAACAAACCCAAACATGTTGCTGGTAACATAGAAAATATGGCTCATGGTAGTGGAAGCCCCCGTAAAGCATGTGTGATTAAAAAAAGTAAGAATCATAGCTGAACAAGGAAACACATAGACCAACCATATCTATAGGCTGTAAATGAGGTAGCATGGAAAAAACACATTATATTGAATCAAAAAAAAAAAAAAAGTTGAACCAGATTTGTTAGGAAAGCAGGAACATAGGAAAGCCAGAGTGACACTATTTTAAAATCAGCTCCATCAAAAAACTAGCAAGGCATGTTCCTTGCCAGTCATGACCTACGGTTATAAGATGTTTACAGCTAAGGAAGTGATTTAGTAATGCTGCAAGGACAAACTCCTATGACAACAGAATGTCCAGATGTCCCAATATCACATAACGATACATGCTTTTAAGATAGCTAGAGTCATACTTTGATGTACTTATGCTCTAAGATGACAAGGGTAAGTTTCTTTATATCAACAAAGTACTAAATTTTGTCATACTGACAGCCTACCCACATGTGGACATAGCTTAGCTTTAACATAGATAAAACCCCTATAAAAGAAGAGTTTAAAACAAAGACAGCACATTCCTCCTCTTGCTTTTGGAGGATGCCCTACGCTGTAACTTAGTAGCTTTCGATAAACTGTCTATTCTCTCCACACTCTGTGACTTTCCTTGAATTCCTTCCTGCAGGAGATCCAAGAATCATCTTTCGGGGTCTGGTTCAGGAGCACCTTTCTGACAACAGATTAGTCTGGTGCAGTTACAAACCCCCTTCTTTTTTATGTCCATTCCATAATCTTGAGGGAAAGGGATGATGACCATTCTAACTACTTCTTGCTGATTAGGGACATAAACATTGGTTAGAGTAATAAAGTTGTTTAGTGTTTTGCTATAGGAGTTCCCTGGTATCAGGGCTGCATTTCAGGTGGAGTTGTTTCCATCCAGTTCTAAAGAAAGGTATAGAGAGTTAACAACTTAACATTATTTGCTCCAGACAACAAAGAGAATGCTCAGATTTTATGCAAATGTTCATATCCAGGCTCCCAGTCATGTCTTCTTCACAAATGAATGGTTAAAATTTGAAACTCCCTTAGTTTTCGTTAGTCAATACAGCTGATTCCTGATTAGCTGACACAGGTGAGCTTTGATTGATTGATTTAGGTGAGTCTCGAAAGTACCAAAGTTAAGGAGTGTGGGTTTTCCAGGAACTCAGAGCATTTGTGTGAAATCTAGTTAGCAAATGGGTGCTATTTAAATTTAGGTCCAGTTAGTCACTCAGAATCCGTCTTGAAGGACTGACTCAAACCCGCTGGCAAACAGCATTGCATTCCATCCAACAAAGAAGTGGTTGGCTACCTGCTCTGGGCCCATCTGATCGCTTGTAGGAATCCTAGTGGCACTGCAGTGGCCAATAGGGCAGCTAGAGCCATTTAGTTAGGAGAGGCATTCAGGAAAGTACTGGTTACATTTGAACCAAAGTCTCTTGGGTTAAGTTGGTTCCTATTTCCAGGGGGAGTGAGTTTAAAGTCTCAAGGATTGCGTGGGCAGGATCCTGGTGGGGATCTCTTGTAGACATCTGTTAAAAACCAGTTAGAACAATTTTAAAGAGGAGTCAAATGCTTAGCCAAAATATGAGGGGTATCATAAGACGTGTAGGGTAGAACGCAGAAGAAATCCTATACCGGGGGAAACCAGCTGAATATATCTGGACATCGGAAACTTTATCCACTAAGTTCCGTTAGGAGACTTTCTGAAGATGTCTCTTTCAGAGATTTTGCCAACTTTAAGCCCATTTAAATATGACTGGAAGTATTTACCCAGGTACAGCAGCAAGCATTAGAAGTCACTGAGCAGGCCAGGTGCAGTGGCTCACGCCTGTAATCTCAACACTTTGGGAGGCCAAGGCAGGTGGATCACCTGAGGTCAGGAGTTCCAGGCCAGAGGCCAACCTGGCCCACATGGCAAAATCCAGTCTCTACTAAAAATATAAAAATTAGTCAGGTGTGGTGGCACATGCCTTTAACCTCAGCTAATTGGGGGGCTGAGGCAGGAGAGTCACTTAAACTCGGGAGATGGGAGGTTGTAGTGAGCTGAGATCATGCCACTGCTCTCCACCCTGGGTGAGACAGAGTGAGACTCCATCTGGAAAAAAAAAAAAAAAGATTCACTGACCAATAAAATCTCATTACTGACCATAGTATCTCATGGATCTACTTTGTTCCCAATTCTGGTATCCAATGTCCCTAGTTGGTCAGATTTTTAAGAAGGGGACGTCACCTGAATGTCCCTGGAGCATCCCTAGTCAGGATCGAGACAAGAGCGCTGGGGGACTCCATCAGGACTGTTATAATCTAATATTGGAGGAACTTAGGAGAATCCAGGATCTAGTTCAGTCTACAGGCAGACAACAAGGACTTGAAGACAATGTACGGGGTTAAAATCTAAAAACAGTTGCAACTTTGCTTTCCTTAGAAGCATAATATTTCTCTCCTGTTGATGATGTAGGAGATCTTAGATTTTAGAACCTCTTGAGGCTAGGAAACAAAACCAAAGTAGCCTTTGGATTTTGCTTATAATCAAGGTTTTTGAACCTGCCAGAAAGTGACAATTTTTACTCATTCCCTGTGAAGCTGGGAACTCATGAAGCAAGGCATTTTACGCATTTTTTTTTTTTTTTTTCTGAGACACAGTCTCACTCTGTCACCCAGGCTGGAGTGCAGTGGTGTGATTTCTACTCACTGCAACCCCCACTTCCTGGGTTCAAGCGATTCTTGTGCCTCAGCCTCTCGAGTAGCTGGGACTACCGGTGTGTGCCACAATGCCTGGGTAATTTTTGTGTTTTTAGTAGAGATGAGGTTTCACCATTTTGACCAGGCTGATCTCAAACTCCTAGTCTCAAGTGATCCACCCACCTCAGCCTGCCAACATGCTGGGATTACAGGTGTAAACCACCACCCCTGGCCTCTATGCATATTCTTAAATATGACATTTCAAGCCAAACCTTAGCAATATAACCAATATTCCCCATTGGATCCTGCTTATAAAGACAGAGTGGATTTTTACTGAACTTGCATAACTAAAGATAAAAATATTCACAAATAGTTTCTGAATTTTGGAGGAATCAAGTAGAGAGAAAAAGTAAATGCTTCCATATTTGTTCACAAAGGATTCTTTATCAAATTATTGCAAATGATTGATAGCTTGTGACAGAAAATTTCCTTTGCTCTGGAAAATAAAACATTGAAGTCATAAAAACATCCTTATGACTTAATTTTATGTAATTAATTTTGTTTTGCTTGATCTTAATTAGCAATTTTGGACTATTGCTGATTGTGAATGCTTCCAAAGAAGAAATTAAAATAATAACTGTGAATGACAAAAACCCAGAACAGCCATAGGTAAAGATCTGATTAAAGTTATCAATTAACAAGGAAATTTAAGTATTTCTGTGGCATACAATCATCCAACACAAAAAAAATTGCAATTATTACAGGTATCTCAGCATGTCAGTATTTTAGGAATCTCATAAAATTTCACATTTCTATAAATGATGAACTTACACAAACATAGCTTAAAGAAAGGTAAAACACCATTTCTTATCATTTCTTATTTGACAATGCTTCCAGTAGTATTTACCAAAGAAGCCTAATCATTTAATATCTCTACAAGAAAGATATGCCTTTTGAGGGGGCATATCTAGGGGGCCCACCTGGAAAAATCCCAGTCAATGTTAGGCCAAAAGGCTTAATTTAGGATTTGGATTCTAGAGAAACCTGCCAAGGATGTCAAAAAGCTTAAAATACTTCCTTCAAGAGATCATAAGTCACTGCCAAGAATACTACTCATTTAATCAGAGTGACAACCTAAAGACCTCAGAAAGTTACATGGATGTAAAAACCTTAACCCTTTTAAAGCTCAGTTGCCCTAAGCAGTCAAAGTTTAATAAAGACACCATGAAGCACTGGGAATTATCTTGGTAAAACACAGAATCTTTGTTTTCTAGGCCAGTTGCCTTGATCAGGGGAATATTCCTACTTGCAGGAATCAAGTAGAGAGAAAAAGTAAATGCTTCCATATTTGTTCACAAAGGATTATTTATCAAATTATTGCATTTATCAAATTATATGTTGTTACTTGTTTAGTAACAACATAGGAAGTCCTGGTAACAAAACAATTTTGACACATTAAGAAAAAACAACAATACAGAATCAAGTTATGCTGAAGTAAAATGTTGCCTTTCTAGACCTTTAAGATAAACCCCAAACCAGGACTAGACAGTTCTCAGGAAGGAATGTGGCAGAAATAGGAATTAGTCTGTAATTCAGAGAATGGCTGTTAAGGAAACATTGCAGAATTAAAAATCAAAGCCTCTTGTAATCTTACTGAGAACAATTCAATATTTTAAGAGACTCATATTGTTTTAATGTAGGAGACCAAAATTTAAATTTTGTATCAGTGCATCTTAACATCAAAGTTCCATTTTTTCCAACTTTTATTTTAGATTTAGGGGATACATGTGCAGGTCTGTTCCTTGCAGTTTTTCTAGGGGCATGGTGGAAGCTGCTGATGAATCTACCATTCTGGAGTCTGGAGGATGGTGGCCCTCTTCTCAACGCTCCACTAGGTAGGATCCCAGTGGGGACATAACTGGCAACTGCAGACATAACTGTTTGGCTTGCTACAAATCCATTTTCTGTCTATAAAGATTCTGACTCCATTGTCATTCAGGAAGGCACATTCTCCACCTCCTCTGATAGCAAGCCTAAAGCCAAACACAAAAATATTACATATTTATAAGTGAGACACCTGCATTTGTTCCTCGCCTATCATCTTCTGTACCCCCTCCATATTTTAATGTGGATAAGAGAAAAGCAAAAGTCTGTCATTAATATTGCTTCATAGTAATATAAACCATTTCTGTATTTAGTGTCCTTTATGTCCTCAAGGTCCTTGCTTGAAAATCACAAGCTTATCATTTATCCACACCAAGCCCACCTATGTTGATAGGTATTTAACTGATGCTTGCTGCTGCACCCAAATGAACTGCTACCATTGGTGGTCTTCCATCAAGATGATTTCCAGTCTCCTCCCAAATTGTTTTACAAATGTGTGAAAATTAAAAAACAAACAAACAAACAAACAAACAAAAAAACCAAAAAAAAACCACTAGTAAATTCCTGAAAGGGCTTAGCATTGATTAATGGATATGACTGGGTTCCTACATTTTATCTGCTGTAATGTAATGATTATATTCAAAATACCCCTTTGAAATGTTCACAGTCCAAGGAACTGTTACTTGTTTCCTTCTGGTGATAGGATTTTAGGAGAGACAGATTCCCATGAGTTCCCTGGATGCTTTCCTATTGTAAATGGATGCAACAGCTGGAAGAGTGGGCTTAACAGCCTTGAGGATATCAGCTCCTCAGTGGCTTCCTATGATTGTAGAACCGTTGTTGTACATCAGCTGTAAGCAGGGATTTCAGCAGTTTTAAATCAGTGGATGAAAGCGTAAAATTGTGTCAAATGTCACTGTCATGTTAAAGATTTCAACTGAAATCACAGTTAGGTAAAGCTTTCCCAAAGACACAGCTAATAAATGGAAGAGCATAAAAAGAGTTTAGACTTCTTACCTCATATTGCAGTAAGTTTTCCATCATACTACATTTCTTATCTCATAAACACAAGTCACACACATAACCGTACATAAACACAGCAGAAAGATGAGAAGTCTCAAAACATGCGTGTTATTATATTCTGTGTTGTCCATCCACCTCCAAATGTGATGGGATGATTCTCTTCTAAGGCCAATCCAATGGTTGGAAGGGCTTTGTATCTTTTCAGGAAATTCTATAATAAAACAGAAAGTAACACTGTGCATCCCTTTCTTTCATATTACTCTGCAGTCTCTCTTCTCTATCCCTTCTCTTTTTGACTGGCAGCATGGTGTAATTAAGCAGCATAAACTCTGGAGTGAGACTAATTCCCAATTCTCAGTTTAAGTCATTTAATGTCTCTGATCCTTAATTACTTTATTTAAAGTGAGCATATATCCCAGTTTCATTGGGAAATTCCCAGTTTATGCTTGTCATTCCACCAATGTATTAATGATCACTTTTAATACCCTATATATCTTAATCTAGATGACAAATTATATAATTACCTTACATCTTAATAGAATGAGAACAATACATCTCATCTTAGAGGTTCACTGTGAGAATTACATGAGGAAATACATCTAAAATGTCTCACAGGGTTCCAGGCAGAGAACACACCCTCAACAAATGTTAGACATGAAAACACGTCTCATGCCCCTGGAATGGGATTCTTCCTAGTATATTAGCTTTAACCCTATGTAGCTGACCTGCCTCAGGGGGCTAAGTATTTGACAGAAAACATGATCCAAAAATATGTCTTACCAGTTCCTCCATAGTTGCAAACTGAGCAAGGCTGGCTTCTAATGAGACACAGAATGTTTGATTCAATGTCCAATTTCTTATGTCTTCAGAAAAATAAAAACATTTACTCCTAAATCTAACCCAGCTTTTTGGCCAAGCAGCGTATTTAGGTGACTCTACCACTCACTTTTCCTTTCTTGCTAAAAGTGAGACAATCACAATGAAACATAATAAATAAATGTTCTCACCCCTTTTACCTATTTTTCTGCTTACTTTCCTGAGGTCGGTTTTGAGGTGTACATATCTGATTGCTGTTTTCCTAACTCATCACAAAGTGCCTTATCCTAAGCACAGCAATCATCAGTCCAGTGGTTTCCAGCTGGGTATCTGCACTCTTGACTTTCTGAAATTTACACTGACCCTAACAGTTTCAAGGAAATCAATTTTTGTAGCATCGACTTCCATAGTACTGTACTTTCACAGGTCATACAGATGATTTTTCCATATTCTCCCTCATATTAGCCCTTCTTCCTCTTGACAAAGCAATGCTGAGGACCTATTACCTCTGTATACACGAGATGATTTTATGTATACAGTTCTCTGTACTTTCGTGCATTCTCAATCTGCTTCAGTAGAAGATACCAGCTCTTAAGGCCAGATGATTTGTCTGAAAACATTTCAAGTAGAGATCTTACTTTATTTTTAATAAAAATGACAATTCTGAGAGGAACTTGTCAGGAAAAAGTTCCGTAAGTGGAATTCCTATACCTATAGCCTTTCTCATATCAATGGATGGCAAATGCATTCTTGCCAAGGCTCAAAAGAAAAGACAGGCTTACCTTAGACATTTCTCTTTCTAAGACTTTTTATCCAATTTGATATAAAATACTGTTGGCTCAGCTTTCAAAATATCCAGAATCTGACCACCCTCCCCTACCTAGTCTCAATATAGCAATCAAATGATTATTCTACAATGAAAGTCACATCATGACATTCCTCTCATACAACTCCCCTCATCTAGTCTCCCTATTGCACTGAAGGTAAAAGCCAAAGTCTTTAACTGACCCTCAAGGTTCCTCTGTTCCTGATGCCCCATGGTACCACTCTTCTTCTCCATCTTCACTCTGCTTTACCTACAGCAGCCTCCTTGCTCTTCCTCAAATAAGCCAGGAAGAGTCCTCCTTCAGGCTTTTGGTCTACTTGTTCTCTGTCTGGAATAGGTTCCTCCACCTCTTTCAAAAGGTTGCTGAAATGTCATCTTCCCAAGAAAGCTTAGTTTTGTCAGTCTATTGCAACCCATTGTACCTCCACCCTTATTTATTTTTACTTGTGTTTTTCTGCTGGAATATAAGTTCTGAAGAGTAGGAATTTTGTGTGTGTTTTGTTTGTTGATGTAATTCAAGCATTTCACACAGTGACAGGCACATAATGGAGCTTAATAAATATTTATTGACAACAAAAACATATGAAGAATATTGTACAGTTTGGAGAACAAGCAACTTACCTGACAAAACAATAGAAAGTACAATCACACTTGTAGTGAGGACTGCAATGATGAACAAGCAACAGTAAACCTTGGCAGGAGTTACTGCAGACATAAGTGCTAGGCATTTTCTTTGCAGAGTTTTATCTGTAAAATACAAATATCAGAATCTCAATCTCAGGAATATCCTAGGGAGAAAAAATGCATCATAGAATCAACACTAAGATCAGATGTACTTCAATTCTCCTGCCGCCAACTCCTTTCACAAAAGGGCTTGGTTCATAAATTAGAATAATGGCCCAAAGAGGGCTAGAGCTAAAAACGGAATTCCCCCCATGCCCAGGGAATCTTCCAGTTATTGGAAAAAGAGTAGAAATTGTGATGAAAAAGAAACATACACAATCCAGATTTAGCCCCATAGTAAAGCAGCTGGTTAGAAGCAATAGGGGAAGCAGAAAATAAATCAATGTAAATTCACCACATTGACAGAATGAGACAAGGGACAACATGTGAGCATCTGAATAAATGCTGCAAGAGGATGTGAAAAACTTAATATTCATACACGATAGTAAGACTCCACAAATCAGAAATTGAAGAACCTTCTTCAACCTGATAAGGGGCATCTACAGAAAAACTACAGCTAGCACCAAACTTAAGGATGAAAGAATAAATGCTTTCCCCCAGTGACATGGAATAAGGCAAGGATGTCTGATCTCTCTCACCAATCCAATTTAACATTTTATTGAATGTCCCATTAGGGGCAAAAAGGCAAGAAAAAAGAAATAAATGTCATGCAGATTGGAAAGAAATAAAGGCATTGCTATTCGCAGACAACATAGTTGTCTGCATGTAAAATTCTAAGGAATCTACCAAATGGCTATGAGAATAAATGAATTTGGCAAAGCTACAGGATTAGCTATGTTCATATATAAAAAACACTTATATTTCCATATATTCATAATTATGAAGTGGAAATTTAAATATAAAAACTGCCATTTATAATAACACAAAAGATATCAAATAAATCTATCAAAATATGTTTAGGATCAGTATGATGGAAGCTGGAAACCAAAGTGACAAAGAAATCAAAGACTTGAATCAACAGAGAGATATAAGATATTCATAGACTGGAATATGCAATATTGCTGGATGTCAATTATACCCAAACAGGTTTAGAGATTCAGTGCAATCCTGATAAACACTGCAGTAAGAATTTTTTGTAGAAATAAGCCGGGTAATTTTAAAATTATAAGAAAAATCAAAGAACTAGAACAGCTGAACAATTTTGAAGGAAAAAAAATGGCCAAATTTGGAAATCAGGGAACCTGCTTTCATAATTTACAAAGTAATAGAAACAAAGACAGTATGATATTGATAAAAGAACAAACATATAAATCAATGGAACAGAAAAAAATTTCAGAAACAAATCTAAACATGTATGGTCAATTGACATTTGACAGAAGTGGAAAGTAATCAGGCAGGTAAGGGGTAATATTTTCTGAACTCATAGTGCTGGAACAATTGAGTGTCTTAATGCAAAATAGTGAAACTCAACTCACACCTAATACCTTATAAGAAAATGAGCTCAGAATAAATCTTAGACTCATATATGAAGCCTCAAACACTAAAACTATTAGAAGGAAAGAGGAAAATAAAATTTTTGTGAGCTTGAATTAGGCAAAAATTTCTTAGATACAACACCAAAAGCATTATCAATATTTTAAAACTTGATAAATTGAACTTTAACGTAATTAAAATTCTCTGCTAGAAAAAAAAAAAAAAACCCTGAAAAGGGAATAAAAAGACAAGCAAAGGCAGAAAAACAACTTTCTAAAAAGCAACTTGTATCTAGAATATATTAAGAACTCAAAACTCAACAATAAGAAAATGAAAACTAGATTAAAAAGTGGGTCAACGATTTGGAGATATACTTGATTAAAGAGGATATATGAATAGCAAATAAGTGCATAAAAACATGCTTGAACTAACCAGCCATTTGAGAGATACAAATTAAAACCATAATGAGTGACTACTACATGGTTATTAGAGTGGCAAAGAAAACAAAAGAAAAAAAGGAACAACCAACTGCTGGTGAGGAAGGGATGTGATATGGTTTGGATCTGTGTCCCCACCCAAATCTTATGTTGAATTGTAATCTCCAGTGTTGCAGGTGGGGTGTGGTGGGAGGTGATTGGGTCATAGGGGCAGATTTCCCCCTTGGTACTGTGTCGAGATGAGTGAGTCCTCGTGAGATCTGGTTGTTGAAAATGGTGTGGTGCCCTCCCTCACTTCCTCTCTTCCTCCTGCTCAGACCAAGCGAAGTATGGACTCCCCCTTTGCCTTCTGCCATGAAGTGTAAGTTTCCTGAGGCATCCCCAGAAGCTGAGCAGATGCCAGAATCATGCTTCCTGGCCAGCCTGTGGAATGGTAAGCCAATTAAACCTCCTTTCTTACAAATTACTCAGTCTCAGGCACTTTCTTTATAGCAGTGCGAGAATGGACAGGATGCAACTGGAATTTTCATGCAGCATCACTGGAAATGCAAAATATTATGGGCATTTTGGGAAACGGTTAAGCAGTTTGTTATGGTAAATGTAAATTCCCCACATGCCCTAGCCATCCTATCCCTAGGTATTTAGACAAGGGGAGTGAAAACTTGTGTTTACTCAAAAACCTGAAAGGAATATTTTACACCAGTTTTATTCATTATCACAAAAAACTAGCAACAGCTCCAATATGCTTCAGCTGCTGAAGAGGTGAACCACTATTCCTCATCCCTAATAAAAGAAAAAACTTGATCATACATTCACAACTGTCAATTTCTTACTGTGTGTTAGCTGGCCAAACTTTTGTCCAGTTTTTCTCCTCCTCACAAGCCCTACATGTGTTTGCCTGCAAGTTTGCCTAAAGGCCCCAAAGCACAGACTTGCAAAAACATCCTGCCTTAACCTGCCCACATTGCACCATTTCCTGTTGAAATGCCTACACTTTGCCCCTTGCTCTCTCCTACACCACTAAGTTTTTTTTTGTTGTTGTTGCTGTTTTTTGGGTTTTTTGGGGGGTTTTTTTGGTTTCGCTTTGTTTTGTTTGAGACAGAGTCTCTGTAGCCCATGCTGGAGTGTAGGGACATGCTCTTGGTTCACTGCAAGCTTCCACCTCTCGGGTTCATGCCATTCTCCTGCCTCAGCCTCCCGAGTACCTGGGACCACAGATGCCCACCACCATGCCCGGCTAATTTTTTGTATTTTGTTTAGTAGAGACGGGGTTTCACCATGTTAGCCAGGATGGTCTCAATCTTCTGACCTCGTGATCCACTCACCTCGGCCTCCCAAATTGCTGGGATTACAGGCGTGAGCCACTGCGCCAGCCCACTAACATATTTTTGAAATCAGTGTTATTCCTATTGCAACAGTCCTTTTGAATAAAGTTTCTCCCTATCTTGTTTTTCTTTGACAAATGATACATACTATAATACAGATGACTTGAAAATGTATTATTGTTAAGTGAATGAAGTCAGATTCTACAGTTGCCAGCTGCAGGATTTCATTGATGTGACATTCTGGAAACGCAAAAGTGTAAGAACAGAAAACAGATCAGTGGTTGCCAAGGGCTAGGGGCAGAAGAAGAGACATTCTACAAAGGGACATGAGGGAATTTGGAGTGGGTGGGTATGGTTCTATATCTTGACTTTTATGGCAGTTACATGAATATGTTTACCGTAGAAATCTACACCAAAAGAGTGAATTTTACTGAATATACCTTGTAATACTTTAAAAGTCCCTGCCAACTTTCGTTCATTTAATATACATCTACAAGAATAACAGGGAGCTTCAGCTTCAGTTCTAGACAGTGGAAAAGATGGGTAAGATTGGATGATCTTAAGCAGTAAATATTGTTTGGATTTTGGCTCATATAAAAATATCAGCCTTTATTCTTTCTGGTTCTACACTAATGCAAAATTGTCTTACAGGTTCAGAATACTAAGACTTCCATAATTCTTTTTCATTGTTACTAGGGTAATGTGTAACTCAACCCTTAAAATTTCCCCCAAATCTCCCATTTGCCTCTCTTAATCATCTTCTAAATGTCCCTGCTTTCTCTTCTTCTTTTTTATATCTCTGGTTCCTCCTGCTAATACTGAGAGAGCCAGGCATGAAGGGGTCCCTGGAGAAACTCCAACTAGCCTGCCCACTGAGGTGGAGCCTTGGGAAGTTCACAAGGTTTGCAGCAGGGAGAAGCCTGAGTCTGGTCCCTCTTTTTTATGTGTGGAACCTGGGATCCAAACGGCCAGGTGGGAAGCACTCCAGCGGAAGAACTCTGGCCTTGCCAAAGTAACTGTTTCCCCCCTTTTTTCCATTTTTCACCCAATAAAACTCTGCTTCATACACTCTTTAAAGTATCTGTGAGCCTGAATTTTCATGGCTGTGGGACAAAGAATCCCATTTTTAGCTGAAATAAGGAAAGGTCCTGCAGCAATATTCCCACATGCATCATGTTCCATTTCCCTCTCTTGCTCACTTACTTCTCTTCTACTTTTCTAATAGTGTGTCCTGACTCCTGCAGATTCATATCACTCTTAAAGTACACACTGAACACAATACTCTTCAGACTTCTAGTTGGAAAAACAACATTAGGAATTATCTCTCAGAAGAACAAAGAAATAAAGCATTATTGGATGGCCGAATAGGAATAGCTCCAGCCTCCAGCTCTCAGTGTGAGCGACACAGAAGATGGGTGATTTCTGCATTTTCAACTGAGGTGCAGACTGACACCTCACACCTCACACCTCACACGGCTGGGTACACCTCTGAGATGAAGCTTTCAGAGCAAGAATCAGACAGCAACACTTGCTGATCAGCAATATTCTGTCTTCTGCAGCCTCTGCTGCTGATACCCAGGCAAACAGGGGCTGGGGTGGACCTCAAGCAAACTCCAACAGACCTGCAGCTGTGGGTCCTGATTGTTAGAAGGAAAACTAACAAACAGAAAGGACACCCACACCAAAACCCCATCAGTATGTCACCATCATCAAAGACCAAAGGCAGATAAAACCACAAAGATGGGGAAAAAACAGTGCAGAAAAGCT